GGTTTTCCTTTCCTTAGACTTTATGTATCACAATTTTCATTAGGGACGGAACTAAATAGTTTGAGAGCAGCATAACTTCTACCCCACCCTGAATAAATTTAAACATTCGTCTGTATATACCTCGGTATATCACCTTTTAAACCTATCTATGTGCACATGCATAATAGGTGGTGTTTCTCCCTCATATAATTCATTGTTAATCCTCATGGCGATACGAGTGCATCGGCCATTATCCACAGTAATATCGCTCTTCATACTGAGTTTCGAAACAAAGAACGAAACCAAACATAAATTTTGCAGCAACTCAGCCACCTATGTACAAAATACATACATACATATATGCATGAGATGTTTGTATATGTGTATATTAGAGCGGGTCGAATTTTTTATACTCTTGCAAACCTATTGCTACAGAGTAGATAGATATAGGGTTACATATATTGTATATAAATGGTCCGAAAGGCAAGAAAAGTTGAAATCCAGTTGACTGTGTTTCTATCCGTTCGTCCAWCCGTGCAAGCTGTAAYTTGAGTAAAAACTGAGAAACCTGRTATTCRRCCGCCTTAGTACAAAAAAAGTTATGAGCTCGTAGAAGAGCGAAAACCTATAAAGTTCCATAGCTAAGGACGAACTTAAGATATAGAACATTAATTGGGCAATCACAGTAGCAAAGGGCATCTGTGGGCAAAAAATTTAAAAAAAGGGGGTTGTGGCTCCGCCCTCTAATAAATTTAATGTACATATGTRTTAAACCAATTATGCTCCAACAACCAAATTTACAAAGCCCAATATTAAAAGGAGTCGAAGTCCACAGTCCGACAGTCTGGAAATGGCTGAAATTGGAAGGTAATTCTATATAACGGTACTGTTAAAAACTACGAAAAATAATTAATAGTAATAAATAAATATGGTATGAAAGTGCTTTCTAGAAGCTGGGTGAAAATTTTACGATGGGTGTGGCACCGGCCGCTTTTCGTTGAAATCCAATATCTCCGGACTCGACCGACCGATTTCGACAAAGCTTAGTACATAGTATTTCACTCATATTCCTACTACCTACTTAATAATGCCTTTAGTGTATGCCATCTTCTGAACAAAAATTGTTCAAATCCAACAAAAGCTATGTTGCCTGAAAAATTGATGGCACGAAACTGCTTTTAGATCCCTAACCTCTTAGACAAAGTCGTTCAGAATGATCCGTAGAACATTTTGCGCATACACGATTTTCCGTTTTTTTTTTTTTTGGCTCCCTGTAAATCGACCCGCTCTAGTGCATCTACTGGAAGGTCCTCGTATATATTTATACAAATATGTGCGTAATTTAAATATTGTGTCTTCCAATCCAAGTCGTCTACTATAAAATTTAAGAAAATTTACCCAAAAGTGAGTAACTGTTTCGTTTTATAACGGGATCCAGCATATAGGAAACCGACTTTTTCTGACTGATTTTTGCTGAAAAATCTGCAGTTTATATTATACCGTATGTGTTCTTAAAAAATATGTAGTACAAAGCCATTTATACCGTTAGCTTCTATAAAAATATTATCTTCGTTTATGCTCGTTTCTCCTACGAGAAAAATCTCTTTTAAAGTATGTACCCTTGAAGGAAATTAATCTTAACCAAAAACAAGTAAGAAAGGGCTAAGTTCGGGTGTCACCGAACATTTTATACTCTCGCATGATAAAGTGATAATCGAGATTTCAGGCGTGGTTGTGAACCGATTTCACCCATANAGATAAGCTTCTTGTTGAAACACGTGGATTGTTTTGTATGGCAGCAGCTACAGCAGCGATTGTTTCCTCCGTTCGAACTGAAGGGTTTCGATGGTAAGGTCTTTTGTTGACTGTCCCATGCTCGGCAAAATTGCTTACAAGTCTCATTATGGTCCATCGCCAAACGTGCGCCTATACTCTCTTTGAACCGAAACTACGGACTCCAGTGCGTGATAGTGGCGGACAATCCAAATTCTTGTTTCAGTGTCCCAGTTATCCATTTTTGTTAAATGTAAAAGYCAATCTGCAAAATAAAATAAAAATTAACCAGATTCATTAAATAGAAAAAAAGTTATTTAATTTTTTTTTTTGGTAGCGGCTTTCATCAGCCACCCTGTAGAACCAATCGCTGAACTTTCCATGGGTCGGGAAATATCCCTTCTTTTAGGCATGCATTGTACATGTTTACAACTAATTTTGGTTTCAAAGTCATGGCTTCCTTTAAGGCTCTCTTAGGTATGTCAACTAATCCAGACGCATTTGCTGCTTTTAATTTTTCCGGTTATGGCCAATATTTCTTCTTCACTAACTAGCAGTGGTTGCTATACCACTTCGATTCGAGGCTTAAAGCTTTTAGGTTTCGACCACATTCCTCATGACAGATGCGCTTTAGTATTGTGGTTCAGGCAAGCAGGTCCTGCTATATGTTTGACTTATATGAACTGGACCAAACTCTTAATTCGAACTTCTAATATCAATAAATGGACCGTCTGAAGGAACCATTCACCCAGAAGTAGCCAGTTTTGACGAATAGGAGAGCAATTGTGCTCCAACAGCACAACAAGCCAGGCCACACGCATTGTTAGTGACTCATCATAATTTCGGTAGCTTAATTGGAAGATCTTATACATCCACCACCGCCAAGTATTTACTATATGTATRTTGCTGTCTAAAACTAATGATTTTGCTTCAACTTCAACGAAGTTTCTATGGGAGGGCTTTATGAAATTACCTTTTCAAATGGCAATAAGTTATCGAACAAAAGATTGCAAATTTCAACTAAAACGGATTATTCTAACTTAAGACCTACAACTCAATGGAAAAATACTGGTTTTCCTTTCCTTAGACTTTATGTATCACAATTTTCATTAGGGACGGAACTAAATAGTTTGAGAGCAGCATAACTTCTACCCCACCCTGAATAAATTTAAACATTCGTCTGTATATACCTCGGTATATCACCTTTTAAACCTATCTATGTGCACATGCATAATAGGTGGTGTTTCTCCCTCATATAATTCATTGTTAATCCTCATGGCGATACGAGTGCATCGGCCATTATCCACAGTAATATCGCTCTTCATACTGAGTTTCGAAACAAAGAACGAAACCAAACATAAATTTTGCAGCAACTCAGCCACCTATGTACAAAATACATACATACATATATGCATGAGATGTTTGTATATGTGTATATTAGAGCGGGTCGAATTTTTTATACTCTTGCAAACCTATTGCTACAGAGTAGATAGATATAGGGTTACATATATTGTATATAAATGGTCCGAAAGGCAAGAAAAGTTGAAATCCAGTTGACTGTGTTTCTATCCGTTCGTCCAWCCGTGCAAGCTGTAAYTTGAGTAAAAACTGAGAAACCTGRTATTCRRCCGCCTTAGTACAAAAAAAGTTATGAGCTCGTAGAAGAGCGAAAACCTATAAAGTTCCATAGCTAAGGACGAACTTAAGATATAGAACATTAATTGGGCAATCACAGTA